TCATAAGAACCTGAGATTGAAAGATCCGTGATGAAATCTATAGAAATAGTAGACTATGGTTGTTTTGACATGTATAATGGCTGAAGAAGTCTATAAGATCAATGACAAGGAGTTTTTGATCTTGAGCAAATATCACGAGATTATACAAAATGTATCACGATATTAGTTCGTAAGTTTTATTGTACCTAAAATGTCGTGCTATTGGAAAGTCATGATGAGCTTGAAGAAAACGTAATCGAGTTTCACCTTCTAGAACATATAAGCGTCCCTCAAAATATAGTAGATTCTTCTCGAATTCAAACTTGAAAGTATCATGAGACTTTGAAGGATTTCTCTTAATATCATGAATAAGTAGATCAAAAGATATACTTGACTAAACTTGCTTAATAAAAGTTGAATCAATAGTTAGTATTGATTTCATTGCTCGAAGATGAAGATACTCTTGCTTCAAGAGAATTATCCATTGCTGATCAAAAGCAGCATCTCCTTCCTTTATTGCAAGATAAGATCTTCTAAAGAGTTCATCTCACAAACTTTGTTATTTTTTTGATCGATAAGTGATCTGGAATTCAAATCTTGACAAAGACATACTCCAACAAACTAGGTGATGATTCAAAACATGTACTGACATAAAATATTCAAGGTTCTTGTGATCCATATATACAAAGATTGGACTAAGAGCACCTTCTAATAATATGATATGATTGCTTATAATAACATGATACATTTTTTTACAAAACAAACAACTTACTTTCTTAGAATAGATTAAGATGTCATCTAGATAACAATCAATAAAATCATCTAAAAACTCTCAAAAGACATCATTCATTAAATGTTGGAATGCTACTGGTGTATTTATAAGTCCAAAAAGCATGACGTTGTATTCAAAATGTCCATACGTTGTTTGAAACACAATCTTCCATTCATCTATTTCTTTGATGTGTACCAGATTGTATGCTCTTCATAGATCTATTTTTGTATAGATCTTAGCTTGATTCAGTTGATCAAAGAGTCTAGATATCAAAAGTAGCTGTTACCTGTTCTTGATGGTAATTTTGTTGAATCCTCGATAATCAACACACATCTGTAATGATCCATCTTTTTTCTTCACAAATAAAATTGAAGCTCCTGCTCGAGATTTGGAATGGCATATGAAGTTCTTGGCTAGATTCTCTTCAATATACTCCTTGAATTTAGCTAACTCATTTTGTAATAAACTATAGATTGGTCCAAATGGTAGTTGTGCTCTTTCTTAGAAAAATCACTTTACAAAATATAAGTGAGTTTTTTAAAACTAACTTTAAAAAGAAGGAATGAAGAAGGTTTTGGATGATGTTTTGTCTCAGCAATTTAGGACCTAAATATTACAAAGTCTCTGCCTTGTTAGATTCAGGAGCCTCGACGTATTTCTTAGATGAAGAATTTACTAAAGGATATATAGCATATCTTTAATAAAGAAAACTAAACCTATTCATGTAGAAGTCATAGATGGTCGTCCATTATCTTCTAGAGATATTACTCACGAAATCCTTTCTATAGAAGTAATCAATGGTCATAATAGCTTTATAGTATTTAATATCATTAGATCTCTCTCTAATCCAATCATTTTAGGTTTATCGTGGTTAGAAAATTACAACCCTCAAATAGATTGGATTTCCCAAATTCTTACTTTCTCTAAAAGTATAACTAATAGTGTTGTTAATCAAGTAGAGAGTCATAAGTCCAGATCAATTAAACCCGTATTTATAGGTGCAAAAGATTTCTTGCATGCTGCTATGAAAGAATCACCATATATTATTTATGCCACACTTGTTTCTACTAGTAGAAAGACTTCAAATGGCATTCGAAGCCAATATCAAGAATTTCAAGATGTATTCAAAAAAAAGAATGTGGATACACTCCCAAAACATCGTCCCTATGATTGCTCAATTGACCTTTAAGAAGGAGCACAACCGCCATTCGGACCAATCTATAATTTATCACAAAATGAGTTGACTGAACTCAAGGAGTATATTGAAGAAAATCTAGCCAAGAATTTCATACGCCATTCTAAATCTCCGGCAAAAGCTCCAATTCTATTTGTGAAGAAAAAAGATGGATCATTGCGGATGTGTGTTGATTATCGAGGACTCAACAAGATTACCATCAAGAACAGGTATCCACTACCTTTAATATCTAGACTTCTCGATCAGTTGAATCAAGCTAAGATCTATACAAAAATAGATCTCCAGGGAGCATACAATCTAGTACGCATCAAAGAAAGAGATGAATGGAAGACTGCATTTCGAACTAGGTATGGACATTTTGAATACAACGTCATGCCTTTTGACTTACAAATGTACCAATAACTTTTCAACATCTAATGAATGATGTTTTTCAAGAGTTTTTGGATGATTTTGTAGTCTGTTATCTAGACGACATCTTGATCTATTCTAAGAATCCAGAAGAACATGAACTTTATGTTCGTTGTGTGTTACAAAAATTAAGAGATGCAGGACTCTATGCCAAGATAGAAAAGTGTGTATTCCACACTACTCAAGTCAATTTCTTAGGTTACATCATTTCAAATGATGGACTTATGATGGATCCTAAGAAAGTTCAAACTATTATAGATTGGAAGATCCCAAAAACGGTAAGAGATGTCCAATGCTTTTTGAGATTTGCCAACTACTATCGGATCTTCATCTAAGACTTTTCTCGAGTTGCCACTCCACTTATACGTTTGACTTGTAAAGACAAACTCCAATGGAATCAAGAAGCGGAAGTTGCTTTTGAATCTTTGAAGACATCGTTTGTTTTTGCACCAATCTTGTATCATGTTGATTTTTTCAAAGCATTCTTTATGGAAACAGATGCATCAGACTTTGCTCTAGGTGCGGTTTTATCACAAATGGGGACAAATGACAAACTTCATCTAGTAGCCTTTCATTCAAGAAAATTCTCAACAGCAAAAATCAATTATGAGATCTATGACAAAGAACTTCTTACAATTGTGGATTCTTTTCAAGAATGGCATCATTATCTAGAAGACATTTCTAATCCAATCACCATGTATATGGATCAAAAGAACCTCGAGTATTTTATTTCAGCACATATATTAAATTATTGTCAAGCTCGTTGGAGCATGTTTTTATCAAGATTGGAGTTCATCATCACTTATCGGCCAGGAAAATAATAAGGTTTGTTCGATGCCTTGTCTAGACGTTCTTATCTTACACCAAAAGAAGGAGATACATCTTTTGAGCAACAAAGAATGGTTCTCTTGAAGCCAAAGCAATTTCATCTTCGAGCAAGTAAATCAACATTGATTGTTGATTTAACTTTTCTTAAGCAAGTCCAGTTAAGTATGTCTTCAGACCCTCTTGTTCATGATATCAAGAATAATTCTTCTAAATCTCATGATTCTTCTAAATTTGAATTCAAGAACAACCTACTCTATTTCGAAGGACACCTATATATTCCAGAAGGAAAAGCATGTTTACATATTCTTCAAGCTCGTCATGACTTCCCAGCAACAGGACATTTTGGATATAATAAGACTTTGGAGCTCATATCTAGGGATTTTTGGTGGCCTCAAATGTGAAAGGCAATCAAAGATTTTGTACAATCATGTGATGTTTGCTCAAGATCAAAAACTTTTCATCATCGACCTTTTGGACTTCTTCAGCCATTACCCATTCCAAAACAACCATGGTCTTCTGTTTCTATGGACTTCATCACAAATCTTCCAATCTCAGGTTCTTATGACTCTATATTCATGATAGTAGATCGTTTTACCAAGATGGCATATTTTGTACCATATACAAAATTTATCACAGGTGAAGAAACAGCTAAGCTCTTTCTTGACAATATCTATCGCTATCATGGATTATCCAAGGATATTATATCAGATAGGAAAACTCAATTTGTATCAAGATTTTGGCGGACTCTTTTCAAGATTCTAAAAGTGGATATAAAACTATCTTCGGCATTCCATCTTCAAACTGATGGACAAACGGAGTGTGTTAATCAAGTTTTGTAGCAATATTTAAGATGTACCATTAACTACCAACAAGATGATTGGACAACTCTTTTGCCATTGGTAGAATTTGCTTACAATAACACGGTACATTCTTCTACAAAACAAACACCTTTCTTTGCTAATTATGGTTATCATCCATGACTTGATACTTTTGACTTTTCAAAAGTTGATAATCGTGCTACGAAAGATTTGGCGATTCATTTATCAAAGCTACATGCAACGACGAAGGCGCAGTTAAAAGAGGCTCAAGAACAACAAAAGGTCAATGCGGATGTCTATCGAAAGGAACAACTACCATTCCTCTTGGGTGATAAGGTATGGCTACTTCGTTGCAATATCAACGAAATGGGCTTTGATATTTAATAGAAACAAATTTATTTAGTCATCATAAATCAATAAATTTCATATACATATCACAAAATTATTTGAGATAAAGACAATAGAAAGTACAATATATTAAAAAAAGGGATTTGAGATATGTTAAATACAAAGTTGAAACATTAAAATTATAATAATAATAAAACAGTAATGGGTTCACTTAAATTGGCGCTTGATGTGCATCCTAAATTTTGATGTAATGTTTGGTGATTCAACTTTTAGTGTGGATTTGCATACACTTTTGGAGGTGGATGTTTGGAGAGGAAGTGATTGTAGGTTGGTATGGTACATGTTTCAAGGGAGGGAGTATGGGAGGGTTCTTGAGAATGATCCATGTTACCAACAGTCACAAGTAGTAGAAGAGCACATTTGGGGTTCGTATTTCTACAGACAATACCTGATGCAAAACAACCACACTGACTGCAGACATGGTACTCGCTCCAATGGTTTGGAGTACACTGCGGCCAACTACCAGTTACCATACACCAATCAAAGTCGCCAACCTGGCTTGCCTGCGGCCTCGCACCTAGCGATTGGCGCCACATTCAAAAAACTAAATCCGAAACCCTGGCTAGCGGAACCGGGGCGATGCTGTTGCAGCGACTCCTTGCAACGGTCATAAGGAGGAAGGGGGAATTCGGGAGCCCTCCAGGGGCAGGAAATGTGCTTTAGGTCACAGCGTCAGGCTGCGCGGGAGTGGCAGCACGACGACGTCTGCGTCTCCAGTGCTAAGGAAGAAGAGCTGGATGACGGTGTAGCGCGGAGCTGCCGACTGCGGCGCTGTTCAATCACCCCCTATCCGCGCTGCCGGTGTGGTGGCGTCCCGATGTAGATTGCTCGCGCAGTCAGTGCAGCCTGGCTTCCAGATCTGGATTATTGCCGTCTTCTGCCGTCTCACCGCACGCCCGGATGGTGGTTCTGTGCGGGATGTCGTGAACGGTGAACTGGGCGGGCGTGGCGTTGGGGCGCGGAGCATCCCATTGGTGGGTATGTGGGATTGTTTGGGAGGTTACGCTTGATTGGGCAATCCGTGGTGAAAAGGCGGCGTGGGTTTGAGATTTCGGAGAGGGCATTTGAGGGAGAATGGGGGCGACGACCATAGGGATGATGGACGCGGCCTACTTCGTGGGCCGCAACGAGATTTTGAGCTGGGTAAACAGCACGTTGGAGCTGTCGCTATGCAAGGTGGAGGAGGCGGCAAGCGGGGCGGTGTACTGCCAGCTGATGGACGTGGTGCACCCGGGGATGGTGTCGATGCACAAGGTGAGCTTCGACGCGAAGTCGGAGTACGAGATGATCCAGAACTACAAGGTGCTGCAGGATGTGTTCAACAAGCTGAAGATTGGGCGCCACATCGAGGTGAGCAAGCTGGTGAAGGGGCGGCCGCTGGACAACCTGGAGTTCCTGCAGTGGATGAAGCGGTACTGCGATCAGATAAACAATAATCACGTGAATCCGACGTACAATGCGGCGGAGAGGAGGGAGACGTGTAAGGGAGGGAAGGAGATGAACAGGCGGGCGTTGGGGACCAGCAGCAGCAGCAACAATAGCCAGGTCAGTGCGAAGTCGGCATCGACCGTGGGAGCGAAGGCGAACGGAGGTGGAGCCCGGCGGGTGACGGAGAACACGAACCCGAACGTGAATGGGGGCGGGAGGGGTGGCGGTGTGGTCGGTGGGGGTTTGAGCGCAGCGAGGCACATGAAAGACGGCATGGAACAGGTAGTGCACGTGAACCCACCCGTAGGACCTGCGCATGGGATCGCTTGCGCGTCGTGAGTTCTGGTTACTTGTAGCATTCGCGTGTAGGGGGTCGCAGCAATCCTTTGCAGTGCGGGGACGAGTAGCGTAGGAAGCACTTGCAAGCGGCTTGGTGTTGCGGGGATTGGGATGGCGTTGTAAAGCGTGAGATGCGTGGGGGATGTGGCATGGAAGTTCAGGTTTCTGGCGTGAACGAGGATCATGTGAAGCAGATCACGGAGCTGAAGCTGTCTGTGGAGAGTCTGGAGAAGGAGCGCGACTTTTACTTTACGAAGCTGCGCGACATCGAGATTCTGTGTCAAGCGCCGGAGCTGAGCTACATTCCGGTTGGTGTTCCCGTCCAGCCGCTGTTTGTGTGACGATGATGGAGATGCAGTAGGTGTGGGTTGTACGCACAGGAGGTGCGGCAACGGCATTAGGAATTAGCGATGGTTGCTTGCATCCAGTCTGAGGGAAGGGGCGGGGCGGTTTATGTTTTTGACAACAGTGTTGTTGGGATTTGCGTAACGTTCAGGTTGTGAAGGCGGTGCAAAGAATTTTGTACGCCGCAGAAGACGATCCTTCGGTGATCGCTGAGGCGAAGGCCATGGTGGAGGGAGAGTCGAGTCTGGGCATCCTCTCACCAGGATCCCAATATTTGGATGATAATCAGGATCTTTTAGGTTAGTGGCGGCAAGGCTCTAGAACTCCCAGCCAAGGACTCGCCGCAGGACTGCTACGTTGAATTCATGGGCGCAATCTCCAATCCCCGACGAAGCCTCTCAGGCGTGGACATCATCACCTCGTGCTGCTCACTGTCTGGACGGGCTTCCGTCGGGCGCATTGATCGCGCATTTGTCAATTTTCCGGCTGGATGAGTGCAGTGCGTTGACTCTGGGTGGCCTTCAGACATGCGAGTCGTTGGGCTGAATTTCTGTTGAGAAAACGCGACTCTACTGAGTCTGCCATAAACAGGGTAGACTTTGTATAGAATGTGTACGGTAGAAGCCAGCAACCTTGACGGTGTTCACGTCCTTGATGGTCATAGCCCTTGAGGGCTCCATGGGAGGAGCCGGCATGGAGGAGCTCCTCGTTGCTGAGATTATTGAAAACTGGAAGGCTTATTACATTACAAGTGGGGGGTCGCGTGTTCATGAGTTGTACATACTTTCGGTGCATTCAGTAGTTGTGAAGTGCAGGGAGAGGCGTTTGGTTCTGGGTTTGTTTGGTGGGTGTCGTGGGTGGTGCGTTGTGAGTCGCAACATTTTGGAGGGGGATTGAAAGGAAGCGGTGAGCGAGTTGTGGTTGTGTGAATTCGGAATCGCCAGTCCAGGATGACGACGTGCATTTGGATTTTGTTGCACACATGATGCGAGTTCCGTTGTTGGCAATGGCACCTGTTCGATTTTGCTGACGGGGTCCCTCAGGGAAAAACATGATTCAGAGCGCCTGGGAGTGGGAGCGCCCACATTCATAACGCCTCAGAGGTGTGGATGGGGCGAAGTCTCGTCGGATGTTTTGTTGGATGTACTGCGGGACTTTCGGGTAACGCAGCGGAGAGGGACGAGTTCCGAGTAGGATGGAATTGGATTGTGAAGTCGCTGATGAGCAGGCATGTGGTGCGACTTTGGGTCGCGTGTGATACGCGACTAGGTAGTGCCGACAGCGGACTCTGCAAAGTTTCAGACGCTTATTCCGCATGCGTGGTTGTGATCGGTAGCTGTGAACGTCATCGTGTAGGTTTCGTATTTTGAAGAAGATTGAGAGGAATTAGGCGGACCGAGGGTCTTGAATTGGTGGAGAGGCAGTTCAGCTGCTTTTGTCGAAGCCCTCACCACGTAGTGTATCGAAATGGGTGTTAGCAATAGTCATGCTTGCTGCAGGATTAGTATCTGCCGATTGAATCAGGAGCTTGTTGCACAAACTCCTGCGGTGTTATAGGGGGGAAGTGGGACATTGTGATGAGCCTCGTTCTTTTCAGGACCTACTCCACCTACTGCTTCAGAGTGTTTCTGGGTTTTGTTTGAGGCACCTGATCACGATGCAAGCGCTCCAAATCTCATTACAATGCGGCATCTCAAAGCGAAGAGTTTGACGAGGACAAAAAAAGTTCCATAGTGAATGGAAATTGAGACCATGAGATATAAGTTAGAAAGATTGAAATTCTGCAAAGTTGCGATAAATTTAAGCACGTTAAAGGAAAATAAGTGTTCGAAATGGAAGGTGCGAAGTGAATCATCGTAGCTTCTATAGCTTTTATTTTAAGATTGCCCAACTGAAAGAGGTTTGTGGTTGAAGCCAACGGCTGCATACTATGGCGTAGAATCCTGTGTTCATGCTGACACCCAATCCAAATAAATTTGTGATCATGAAAACTGTGGATCAGCGACAAAGATCAGGGATAAAAAAAGGCCAAAAAGGTGGAAGTAGCTTTGCCTTGGGAAAAAGGCTTGAAGAAAGGTTCGAAGAAAGTTTTAGAATGTGAAAAGTACACTATTTGACTTGATTTAATCAGAGGTTTTTTTCCAAAGTTTAGAGTGTTGGACACAAGAGAGACACTGTTCTTGTATTGTACTTAAATAAGAGAAAAAGAAAAAGAAAAAAGACTGGGTTTTAATAGTAGTGTTTCTAAAATTTATGGAGCTGTACACTTTGGTAGGCTGATGGCATCTTCCACAGATTGTGGATGTTGAGCAGTCTAGCTGACACAACTTCAAAATAAGATAGTATCAAATTTACTTTGTGAGCGGAGATGTTGACAAGATTGTGGGGTGCACAAGGTGCGGCTTCTCTTGTTCCGCGCACAGAGCAAAGAGAATCCAACATGTGTGCATTTCACTTCAGGATTAATTTTTTTTTTTTGTTTATTTGTTTGTTTGTTTTGGTTTTTGGTTTTGAAATAAATGTTCATGAGTTGCTTGCGACAATGAACTTGGGTTGAGAGTGGTGCTTGTTTAGTTGGGTGCCTTAAATTCATGATTGTCTTTTTTGCACGTTTGGAAAATTGATTTGAGGTTATCACCAGTAAAGTGTGGCCTCAAAACTCCATCACTTGTGCGAAAGTAGTAATCTTCTGTTTTTGCATAAACGATTTTGTCTTTTAGTATTAGCATGTCCAGCACCATAATAAGGAATACTCTAATGCAGTTTGATTTATTCTGAACAAATCAATCCACATGTTGACACAAACACTGACGCACCATTTCACTTGATTCGTAAAGATGGTGATTACAAGGATTATGATTGTTCATGTTCCTTCATGCGAATCTGGTACAGTCGTTGAAATTGTGTACGATTCGCACCTTGTGGAGTGGGGTCATCTCCATGGTAAAAGTTGCAGAGAAAGCTTGCTCACATGTGTTCCGACATAAGTGGGGAGAACATTTTGTTGTTGCCAAACAACGATTTGATCCGGGTAATGGCGTGGGCACCCGGAGGGTGAGAGAGTTGTTGAAAGGCATGAGATGCTTGAGTTGGGCTTGAGGTGGGAGAGGCAGGAGGTTTGGGTGGTGTGTGGAGGGTTCTGAGTTGTCATTGCAGCTTGGGGTTGGGTTGAGCACACGATACGAGGGGTGTGGGTTGCAGCGAAGCGGAGGGGACTGTCCCGAAAAGAGTTTGTGGAGGCCGAATGGTCCCGGTATTGGGTAATGGTTGACAGAGAGCGCGTTGTGTGTGTGGTGTGGTGATACGGGTTGGAAATTGAGGCAGTGGGCGGAAGTTGGGGCGCGGCTGTGACGGGTGCAGTGGGGGCGCGGGGGTGAAGAAGAAGCGGGTATGGCGCGTGCGGGATTCGACGCCCCACAGATCCGAGGGGGTCGAGGATTCCGTTTCCGTAATAGTCTAGATGGTTAGGATAACTGGCTAGAAATCATTCTGGTGCAGGAGCACAAGCTCTCTCTTGAAGAAGGGAAAAAATATACAAAGCAAGTCGAATTCCCACGAGGCCTAGCCCTCTGGAATGAGGCTTCCTACTGTGCAGCAACAGACAGCTTTAAGGGTGGAACTAGCTTCCTACTATCGGCTAGAATTGCTAATCTCATATGTGAACATGGTGTCATCGTGAGAGGCCGGGCTCAATATGTAACCATCCAAGTGTCCCCACACGTAAAAGTTGGAATTATAAATGTATATGCTTTTAACTACACCGGCTCGCGCAAACGGCTATGGAACAAGATTTCTCAATATCCACTCCCAGCTGCCAACTGGATACTGGGAGGCGATTTTAACATGATCGAACAACTAAGTGACGAACAAGGTGGGCAGGACACCACTGGAAGAGGGAGAAGAGAACTTATAGCATGGAACGGGCTATTGGTTCAACTAGGACTACAAGACTGCTTCAAAGCAGATGAATTCAGGAAGGTCACCCCCAAGCTATTCTCTTGGGATATTAGAAGAGCTGCCCCAGGGATGATCTGCTCTAAGCTAGACCGCTTTTACTTGAACCAAACCCTGACTCAAATAGGGGGACAGACAGCAATCTGGCCCACTCTATCCCATGTGTCTGATCACGCGCCCATATTTGTTAAAAAACAACCCAGACCTACTAAACCACCACATCAACTAGCATTCAACCGGCACCTACTCTCGAGCGAAGAGGAGAAGACACCGTTACTTGAACTCTGGAACAGAGCCATATCGGTAAATCCAGACAATTCATGGAACACCAGATTCGTCACAGGGCTTAAAGCAATCAAAGAATACAGTGACCAGAAGACCAGATCACATCGAATACAACGTCGCGAAGCCTTCACTGCCCAACTAGCTCCTGTCTTCACAGCAGAGATGGAGCTGCAGCGAGACTGGAACGACCAACAAGCTAGGGAGACTCTTAACAAGGCACAAATGGACTTACATCAACAACGTCAAAAACAGCTGGAAGCCAAACACGACAGACATATGTCGGAATGGACTAGAATTGGGGATAGATGCAACAAGGAGTTTTTTGAATTCCATACCGGTTACAAGAAACCCGCACCCGTTAGAGAACTGATAAACAACGGGAGCTCACTCACCAATCACGCTGAAATGCAAAGTTACGTGGACTCCTTCTACATAAACCTATACTCGCGAGACATGGTAGAAGCTAACCAAGAAGCGAGGCAGAACTGCTTCACTAGTGTTCCGAGATGCGTCACGAGGGCACAGGGAGAGAAACTATTACTCAGCCCTTGTATCCAAGAAGTAATTGAGGCAGTGAAGAGCTTACCCTCGGGCAAAGCCCCGGGCCTCGACGGAGTACCTATAGAGTTTTTCAAAACATTCTTAGATGAAACAGGACCTAATTTTCTTGACCTCATCAAAGAGATATTTGCATCTAAATCCTTATGCAGGGCCCTAAATACCAGCAAGATAAGGCTCTTATCAAAGAACTAGTCTATGCAAACAATTTCCGCCTGATTTCCATTTTGGGAGTAGTATACAAGATCATAGCCAAACTACTTGTTAACTGAATGATGCCTTTCCTCCCTATGTGGATCCGTAACTCACAGACTGCCTTTGTCCCGAGGAGATGTATTTTTGACAACATTTTTATGGCTCAATCCGCAATGGCCTGGGCGAAAGATTGCTCCCAATCACTTATCCTCCTCTTTCTGGACTTCAAGAAGGCATATGACAAAATAAGCTAGAGCTTCTTCAAAGACACCATGCTACACATGGGATTCCCGCAGGACTGGGTAGACTGTCATGTTGCTCTACAATGAGGCCACGGCTATGATCGTGCTAAATGGGGTGTTAGGGGAGCACTTCTTTCTTCAACGATCAGTGAGACAAGGGTGCCTGCTCGCACCTTATCTCTACCTTTTAGCAAGTGATGTACTTGGACACATGCTCTTAGACCCCATCAGATCACTAATCTGCTTTACTCTCCCAAACGGTTGCTCAACTACAAATTAGATGTACATTGATGACTCAGCCTTATCCTTTAGTGGATCAGAAACCAATCTAGATACGATTATGAATATTCTCAGATTATTTTGCAAAGGCAGCAGGGCCAAGTTTAATTGGTGTAAGTCCTATGGAATTTGGGCATACCACCAACCACATCTATAGCAATAGGCAAATGCTCCCACAATGATTTGACTATCTACAACAAACACCATACAATACTCCAAGGTACCTACAATGTGATGTGTGCAAAACCTTTTGTTGGCAAGGCAGACCATGACAACAAATCATGCAATCTTAGCCATAATCTGGTTCTTTTGTTCCTGTTCAGCAACTACAAATTTGACATTTAAAACAATACACACCTTCATCAGAAACTTCATTCAGGAAGCTTGTGCAGACAAGACTACCAAAGTAAAATGTAGATGGTCCATCCTCATTCAAACCATGGACTTAAAAAGAGCCAAGATATTTGATTTTTGGCTACAAACACAATTGCTTATGACTAAACTAACAATTTGTAGCTTAAAACCAAGCTTCAAGTTGTGGAAAATCTTTGCCAAACACTTTTAGTAGTGGTATTATAAATTAGTGCACATAAGTAACTCATGCATGCTGAAAGATGTTTTTTGAAGCATGGTATGAAATATTCTTGAAAAGATAGTATCTTACCAAATCTCATCTTATGAACAAGTTCAAAGAGATGCCACTATTGCAATACTCTGTGAAAGAACAACCATGCATCTAACCTAGATAGGAGGACAAGGTATTTAAAGTTGGAAGGTGATGACAAGAGAATTTGCTTCCATAAATGGAATAGAGGAATATTGTACTCAGCAATGGAACATCTTAGTACAAACCTGAAGAGGTTCATAATGAGGACTCAAATATAGTTAAAATAAAATAGTAAAAGAAAAACACATAAATGAGGAGAATTAGAATATATATAGATGAGGGATTGCAAAAAAGTGGAGGTGAGATGGACGTATGCAATGCAAAAAAGAGAAAAATTAGAGTTCCGGCAATAGATCATGCTCCAAGAGATAAATATGCATTGAATGCTCATTTTGTACTTGTCTCATTGCGGTTCTCTCCTAAACCTTCTTTATTTTTTATAACTAAGATTCAAACTGAGGTCAATTAGGTGATAGCCAATTATCCTAACTATGAAATTCTTTCTATAATTAAGATAAAGTATCTAAGTACATTACATCAAATGCATTAGCACATGTCATTCAACCATTAGTTGAGGGTGATGGAGCTATGATCTTTTGATGGATAAATTTAGTAAGTCTAATATATACTATTATATATAATCATATCTATTATTAAATAGACTACTCCTTTTTGGTACAACAAAACCATATTGGACTATTTCATAAAAGCATATTAATGTACTCATATGGAGATTTCCATTCCATATGATACTAAATTTTATTGTAAAAGTAATTTTTTATTTTTTTTTAAAATCCAATTATCTCTTTTTTTTCAAATATGTAAAGATTTTTAATGTATTGAAATATGTACATTTTAATATCTTGACATAGTAAGAATCTTGATAAGATTTGTTTAAAAGTCTTTTTTTAAATTGTTGTAAAATATTTTTTTATAAATAGTGATTATTTTGTTTGTGTTATCTAATTT